ACCATCCCCAACCATTCACCTCCACATGTGGCATGCAGCCTCCTTCACCAAAATTACACCTAAGGTAAACTTTCATCTCAGTGCCTCAGCTCCTCACCCTTTCAACTCTTCTCTCCATGCCTACAAGTGAGGGGTGCCCTGCTCTTCTCATACACCTGAGTCAGCTTTCAACCATACTGCCAGTGAGAAAATTTGGACATAACTGACACCCACAAACCCAAAAGTCTCAGTATGGACAAAAAGCTTAACCACAATAGGTCAAGCTAGCTTATCTGAAGCAGTATTTTTTATCAAAGCACCAACACGTACTTACCATGCTTTTGATCCTGTTCCAGTACACACATTAAGCCCTGAACTCTTCTGTTTTTCCCAAGGACCATCATCAACTGATATCTCATAATAGGAGGCCCTATGAAGCGAGAATTTAAAACTGGGTTTGCAGGACTTAAAGTTCTCCCTGAATAAGACAGAACACACAGCCTTATCAGGCACATAAAAATTTAGAGGGGCTAGTTTCAAATGCGGATGACAATTTGCACAGTGTTTCCAATTTGGCAGCCTTTTTTCATTATTGTTTTATAGCTATTTTTATAATGGACAAAAGTGATTTGCTGCATGAACTTTCAGGTAGTTGTTCTGTAGTCACTTTTTGTACTATATTATGCACAAAGAACTCTGTGGTTTATCTGTGAATAGCTTTGTATGCAAGTAGCATTTGCTGGACTTACAAATGAAACTACAAATACGTTACCTTCCTTGCATAATTGTCAAACAACAAAAAAAAAGTGTTTCTGCTGTGATGTGGTCTCATAAAATTACATCAAGGAATACTAAGAAGTAAAGCACTCCAACAGCAATAAGTATATAGCACGGCTTCCAGCTGAATTCCTGATCACTTCAATAATCAAACACCCACTGTGATTCTACACAGTTTGAGTTTTACAACCATCAGGAGGTTTAAGTTTCTCTCCAGGGCAAATTTTTCCTAAAACTCAAGTGTAGTTAATTCTTGGGCCGCAAGTGTAATTCTGCATGGTATTATTCATGGATCAGAGGATTCCTAACATTAGGCCTAGAAAGACCAAACAGTGTCTTTCTGTAAGCTTCAGAACATCCAAGGGTATATTTATGAACTAAAGTTGTTGATATCCACAGTGCCTAATTCAAAGAGTATGATACAATCTTCAGATTAATACCCTGTTAGAAAAACACCACGCGTTCACTGTGTTCAGCATGACTAAATTTCAACTTTCTTAGAAAAAGGAGCTTACTGGGCTTTTTTAGGTGATGAATGTTTCAGGCTTGATCAGCTAGGAATACACCTTTTGAATATATGATGTCAAACAGTTTAGACTCTTAGTAACTAAGGGTATTTTGTGTAGTCACACTTGAGACAATGGGAAGATGAAAGAACTGGAAGCAAACTAAGGAAGCAGGTGCTCAGCTTGATTCAGTTTAAGATAATTTTTGCAAGCTGGGTATGAAAGTGTTTTTTTTTTTTCCTTCCGTTACCTGGTTTTCTTAACTGACATGAAGAATAAGACCTTGGAAGAAACTCCTGGAGTAATTTTGTCTTAATATACAGCCCACTCATGTATTTGAGCCCTACAGAAGGTTCATCCATGTGCCATCATTTAAGTCTTCAAGTCTAAGGTGCTTTTAACACAACATTTATTCTTACAGGCATTGTGTTCCTCAGTGCTTCTCAAACATACTGGAACCAAAGAACTCAATTGATTTGTGACACTCAGAAGTAGAGAGCTATTATAAAGTGCTGAAAAGCAGCTTTGTGTTCCTCTATCACTGTATTGTTAAAGAAACTTTTTAGAATCTTGAGAAAATTATGCTTGATTTAGTAGAAAGCAAAATTTGTATCTATTTGGCACTAATTCCTTCTGCCAGTCTGAGGCTGCAGTCCAGATACTCATGGAACACACTACAGTTTCCAGCAGCAATCACAGTGTTCCAGGCACTGTACAAACACAAGAAGATGCTACATTCTGATGTTTGTTTGTTTAAAAAAAACAAACAGAATAAAGGGAAAAGGAATACAAAATACAAGTAAAAGTTTGGCCAAATCCTTAACAAGGATCATGTTTTAACTCCTTTTCCACAGCCCAAATCACATTCCCCACATCCTTCCTGTTATCATTTGGCTGTCAGAAATGCACTGAACTTCAGGACAGAAAGGACAGTCAAAAGGTATCCTGGATAATGCAGCACCAGGATTTATAAATGTTTGTTTTATAAACCAGATACAAACTCATTTATTAAAACAAGAAAATAAGTGTTTTCCCACAATTACAAAGCTCCTGCCAAAGGCAGGCCAGTACCTTTGCCTCTAATGACAGAGGCAGGGAGAGGAGGAGTACTTGGTCATGCTACAAACTACTTCTGCCTGGTCATGGCAAAAGCTTATGACAAGATATTTAAGAAGAGACACAAGAGAGAAGGCAGTTTAAAGGACAGATATTTACATCTTCAACCCACTGTAAAGATAGTAACTGAAGGTATTTGGTTACATAAGACCTAACTAGGAAAGAAGTAAAACAATGAAGAGGAAAGAAAAGAGCCAGGAATAATGAAAGATGAAAGATTGGCCAGAGAGGAAGATGGAAAACCAGAAATGAACATCACTGCACTTAGTTCTCTGAAAATACACTTTGTAATCAGCAATAACAAATCAGTTATATATTCACTGCCTAAAACTGAAATTTGACAGCAAAGACATTCCATCTGAGTGTCCACTGCAGTGTCACAAAAAGGCATAGTCAATTGTGTCTTGCTGCAACAACAAACGATTAAACATACCTGGATGAAAGAGATTCTCCAATGAAGACTTCATTGAGTGCTCTCACTGGTAAAAGATGTGGACCAGAAATATCAGATCCTGCAGATATTGAATATAACAGTTTTGAATCATGGCTGTAAAACCCAAAACAAAAAACTCTTTTCAAAAACAATTCACAACTTTGTGGAGGACACACTCTGCTGCCTCAGTTTGTGTTGTAGACCTAGTGCTCCATTTTCTTCAAGGACTTAATTTTTGACCGATTTAGTCTGCAGTCAGTCCCTGTCCTTCACTGGAGACTACAAATACTTGAAACAAGGTTAATAAGGCAATAACACTTATGTTTAGACATTGCTTTCCTTGAAAACTCAAGGGCAACTAGACAGAATGAAGTCTTTTCTTCTGTCAGTCACTCTTCCAGCCTAGTTAAATGCACTAATCTGCAACTTAAGAGACATTTCTGATAAAGTTCAAAGAACTAGACTTTATACCACAGGGTAATTAAGGGGGAGATTAACAAATTGTTCATGTTGACTAAGGACTTCTCAGTGAAGAAATGCAGTGCTAGACACAGGTTAAGGATAGAATCATGCATCTTCAATCCATCATAAAGAAAACAGTCAGAAGTATATGACGACCGAAAGAATTATCCAGGGAGAGATTCTCACTTCTAATTTCTCATTCACTTTCTGGCAGTCTGTGATGTGCTTTCTTGATTGTGAAATAACCCACCTCAAACTTGGCACAAGTGAAGAACGTGTGCACACACACATGTTTCTATTGTGAAGCACCTAAACGCATGTTCATATGGTGTCCACATGGTAACCCCAAGTGTCTGCAGCAACCCTAAGAGACAGCATTTTAAAAAAGCCCAGGTATTTTGACAGCAGATAATACTGTCTAAAACCAACTGTAAACGAACTGTTAATACTGAAAACTAGTCCTATATGTATGGTTTGGAATAAATATACAGAAACAAGAAATACTGCCTTCTAAAAGACCTGGGCCTTCAGCTAACAAGAGCTGTCTGCCTTCCTCTCAAATACAGCAACCAGACTTCAAATCCTTCTGCTTTTACAAATCTTTATTTCCTATTCCAAGATATCATAGCAAAGTGATTATATTCTTGTCAGATTTTAACCTACTTTGATCCTGGATTCTTTCATTTATGTGAGCCCTGCTGTGTTGCTCTTGGCTCAGCTGCTGTTCATGTAAATCTACAGGGGCTGGGTTAATACCAGTTCCTTCAAGATACAGTCGGATTCTTTGCCGCCACTGCCACCTTAGAGGAGAAAGAAGTTTGTATTAGAGGCTGAAATACTTGTTACAGAATTAGGTAGGATCAGAGTCTATATTCAAAGTCACAGTTCAAGTTTTAAGAAAGTTAACCATCCTAAAATGAAAATACTTTACATTTACCAATTTGCTACCTAATTTGTTTTATGGGTAAAGTAAGAGGACGCAGGCCAAAAGTGAACTATGAACACTATAGATAACAACTCATCTTTTTAGGCATGTGATCCTAACTTAGGAGTTCATAAGTGATGCAATAATTTTGAGAACAACAAGCTCTGAGGAGTTTATACAATGCTACATGCTGTATATTTACCATCTTTTGTTTGTATTTGTAGCTGTCCTGAAAAGCAGCTCTATCCACTCCTTTTACATAAAGGCCAGAAGTATCCTCTCATTTTAAGGATCTGTTCTAGCCTAGGAACTTTAGAATGCTTAACAGGAATTCAGATTAAGAAAGACAAGGATATGAAAGGCATTCTTCCTTAAGCAGTTACAACATTCTGATTTTTTTTATTTTTTCCTAGAGATGGTATTGATCCCTTTTTCCTCTTACTATTTAGAGATTATATGGAACAAAACAGTAATAGTAGTTTTGATTAAGAAAGCAAATCACAAAAGAGTATTATGAGCACAGCTTTTCCCAGTTCATACTGTTGATATCTGGGTGACAACAACCAGTGTATCTGTTTCATGAAATTACAACAACAAAGATGTGCATTTTGTATGACTACGTTACTAGTTTTTCCTTGTTGAGTCTCATTCAATACGTTGTTAGTGTAACTACTTATGTGCCCTTAAATTCCAAGTATGGTTTTAGCTAGTCAGGCAGACAGCATGTGATGAGTATCATTACGCCTCCTTACAGTACTCACGGCAGAACATGTCAAAACCCCTACAAAATTAGAAAATGGGACTATACCCCTGTTATAGCCCCATTCTGAGATCCTGTTACACTAATGACCACCAAAAAAAGAAACATGGGTAGGCAGATATAGTTTGTTCTTTATAAATCAATGTCGTTTGTTTCATGGGACAGATTGTTGCACTTACTGACACTTCAAGGACAAAGACAAAAGACAATCCCCTTCTCCAGTCTCTGGCACCTCACCATCCTTATGCAACACTAAACCATCAGAAGCTCTTCCAGACAGGCTGATCCAGTAGCCCAAATATATTAAAATATCTTTAGAGTCAAATAAATCTGAGAACTGCAAGTAAAACACTCAGGTCCTTGCTTAGGAGTATCAGTTCCTATTACTCTGGTAAAATAACCAGGGAGATCCTTTCAGTTTCATTCTTCAGCTCCATAATGAGCAACAGCAACATCAACAACAAAAATACAACATGACATCCAACAAAACATTAGAAGTGCCTACATTATCAAGGAAGTTACCTGCATTAGCATTACCAGCTTTACATAAAGAACTCAGCATACGGGAAAATGTGAATACCTTTTCATTTAGCAATATCTATTGAAACCCCTTCAGTTATAATCAATCCTGATGACTGTATTCACCTCATTTCAGAACAATTCTATGTCACAAATACAGTTACACTTCAAGATACAAATTAAGTATGCTAGAAATATAAACAAAACCCAACTGCAATATATTTTTATGTGAATGACTCATTTTCTGTCTGAGGTTTGTGTCCTGGTTTGGGGTAAAACGGAGCTGGTTTTGCTCAACAATTTTAACTTTTCAGCTAAAGCTCTTCTAATTAACTGCTCTGTCTGAAATTAGCAGTGTTTTCATAAACTCTCTGGCTTTAGCAGTGGTAAGACTCCATGTTTAGAGCTACTGCCAGGGATTGGTGTGCAGACCAAGGCCACTGCTAAGCTTGGATCCCACACAGAGGGGGGCAGAGAGTACCCCACACCTGTGGGAAGGAATGGGCAGAATAACTGACCCCAAGATTCACCAGTGGGATGTTCCATCCTATATAGCTCTCATATCCAGTAGAAGATGAAAGATCAGGAGGGATAAGCCCTTCCCTCACCCCTTCCATTCTTTCACTTCTGTCTTCTGCTGCTGGGCTGCTGGCTGCTGCTGCTGCAGTGGCCGCATCTGAGGAGGACTTCATCCATCCTGCCTTTGATCCTGAGCCCTGTGCTCCTGAACCAAGTTCCAGAATCCGGCTCCTGTACCAGTTCCTGTCTGTGGCTGAGTCCAGCCTGGGACCCTTTCCCAGGGGCTGCTCCCCAGCCAGGGGTGACAGTGACATGTTGCATTCAGGGGGGAGCTGGGATCAGTACTAACTTTGTACATATTTGTACATATTCTATTAGCATTATTACTATTATTATTAGTGGTAGTATTAAAGCTGTTTTCCGTTTCTTTTCCAATCAATAAGTCTCTCTCCCTTATTCCCTTTCTCTTTCCTTTTGGGGGTGGAGGGAGGGGGTTAACAGAGAGCATCTGTTACAGTTCTGGGGGTGGCCCTGACCCCAAACCGTGGCAGTTTGCCATCACAAAAGTATTCTGGAATATTAAGACACCACAGAACAATGTATCTTTCTAAAAAGTTATTAAAAAACTCTTCTCTAGCCTATTCTTTAAACTTCAGAATTCTTTCCCTTTAACTCAAGTGAGATTCTTCTATTTAAAGAATATCTGGTATGGAAAACAACAAGCCATCTTCAGCATAAAGGCTTTGCCTTACACTAGTATTTTAACAAAATTTAAGCCACTCTGCCTTAGTCACCAAAATCCCAGATGCAACACACTGATCATTTCCTAACTGTACAGCCTTCCTTAGCTTCTTTCAGTATGGTCCATCACTGTACTTTTGCTTTTGAATGTAAAAAATACACAAACCCATACACCCTTTACAAGAATGCAGCTCCTCATTTATTAATTTACTAAGTCAGAAAAGAAAATAAATTACTGAAATTCATAACAACAATCTTTTTGCTGGAACTGTCAGCCAATTTAATCTTTCACATTCCAATCTCACTCTTGACCACAAATGCATTTTTCAACATGGTAAACATCTACACAGGATTCACAGTTTGAGGCATTAAGATTTCATTAAGCACCATCTGCTCCTTAGGTATTGTACATCAAAATATTCTCCAATCATAATACATTTTGGAAACCCAGAGATCAGTGAATCCTACCTGAACTCACCACGATAGAGCTTCTGTAGTGCTTCATGAAATGAGTGTGTATATCTCACAGGCAAGCATAAGTGACCCTCTGATCTGGTAGCAAGAATGGACAATGAAAATTATTAAGATTTGGTACCTTTAAAAAACAAAACAAATATCTCTTTCTGTTGCAAAAAGCAAAGCTACACCTTAACCTTTATGAGCCTATACTATTCTTACATAGGAGCACACCAGCAAAAATACACTTTTTTTCAGCTCCTGGTGTGTATGAGTGTGAGACATACGATATTTCTCCTACATTTCCCTTAAAAAACTGTCTGGTCATCTAGTAAACCTGCAGGAATATGTAGGCACTAATATAGCTCTTGTCACCATGGTTCTAGACAAGGAAAACAACCTTAACAAACACTGCAGTTAGAAAATGAACACAAGTTAATGACACAGGACAGGTAAGCAACGTGCCCAAGATCAAAAGAATCTCATGTCAAACCCAGAAGACTAAACACTGCTCCCCTTTCATGAGCGATATTTGATAACTTGAAGGAACTTGTTATTTGAACCCTGTTATTCTGGCTTGATAGTCTGGAGTATCTATACACAGCATTTGGAAAGTTTTGGAAGAGGAGTAAGGAATGGAAGGAATTAAAAATTCTGCTCACCACTTTATCTACTAAGACTAAATTAACTTGTAATATCAAAAGCAGAAACCTAAATCTAGAAATCTCACCAGACAGAGCCTTGGTGAGTCCTGAGATTTACTTGCCATCCATTTGAAGGTTATACCAAGCAGGCAGTACTAATACACTGCATCCACCTGCCCAAATCAATCTTATCGCTAGGTGGACGCAACGTGTCTGGAGTTTATAACAGGGCAACTGAATGCCATTAATTGGCTGAGGAGACTGCATCCTCTGAGGTACAACAGGGTTTACATGAAGAAACCAGAATAAACTCCTTCGTCTGAGGCCCTGTTGGATTTTCAATAGGATTTTCCTTCTTCATAAAGAAATCAAATTTCTCCATGTCCAGGCACCATGCTTAGTTGCTTTTGTTAAGTTACTTTTTCCTCTGGTCCCTACTGCCACCTCTAGCCTCAGACTTATGGTTAGTAGAGCAAGTTAACTAGCTGCAAGTGCTGTTACTCTGGTGTATGAAAATAGTTGTGACAGTTTAACTCAGTCATGCTTTCCCAATATTATTTAATATCTTCTTAGGTGAGACAGGATAACTCATTGTGGAAACTTTTTTAATAAAACAACAGTTTCACCTGACACTGACAATCCACTAAACCAGTCATTTATACTGCCAAATGCTACAGGCATGCCCCAAGCATCATCAGAACAGATGTATGTTCCGCCTGACACTAAATGAACTGCTTTCCCAAAAAGCAGTTTTTCCCAAAAAGTGTTTTTACCTTTCAGGATCAGTATTTACTCCAATAACTGGTTTAAATTTATCAAAGACCTTGCTGGCTGCCAACAACATTGTGCCATCACCTACAGAAAAAGCAAAACAAAAGTTAGTTTCATTTCACATTCTAGGATCTGAAGGGCTGGGATTAAATCCCCAGCCCTGAATGAGGGTTGGCATATGGATGATGTCCACAACCAGGCAAGAAAGACCCTCCTGACTGGTTTTCACCCAGGGTCTGGCCAGCCTTGGGTGGGAACTGACTAGGAGATCACCACCAGGTGCCCCCATCTTCAACATTACTTTGAAGGCAGGGCAAGAAGCCGCCTCTGTAAGAACTGACTCTGCTTGCAGTGGAGTTGGGAGATCTGTCTACACAGTGCATGTGCTGTGTGGGCATTCTGGGTATGGGGAGGGCTCCCCAACTTCACAGCAAGTGGAGTTCCCAGGGTGGCAGGGCCAGGACATGAAGCTGTCTCTGAGTCCTTACTCTATAATTGGGCTCATGACCTGGCTGCTCCCATTGCCCACAGCTTGGCTCCTTGCCCAGCTCACTCCCTTCTTCACATCCACTGTGGTGGGTGAGTGCATTGACTTGTTCCTCCCTCTGGT